CGGCGCCCTGGGAAGCCGAGGCGGCCGAAAAGGCGACGGCAAGCCTCGGGAAGTACCCGCGCCACTCGGGCCCAGGCCTCTCAGGCGCCCGCTTCGAGCACTGGGCGGTCTTGCGCGGACACGAGGAAGGAACGCAGGCGCTAACGCAAGTCCTCGTCCTCATCCTCGAGGGCAGGGCGCCAGAGCAGGCCATGCGGGCCATCCTCGCTGGGCGACTGCTGCCGCTGCTGAAGCCAGGAGGCGGCGTCCGGCCGCTCGCCTGCGGCGAGACGTTGCGAAGGATGGCGGCCAAGGCGGCCACGGCGGCGCACAAGAACGCCATCGCCGAAGCGGTGGGGCACCACCAGTTCGGCGTGGGCCGCAAGAACGGCATCGAACTGATGCACCGCGTCGTGGCGGCCACGCTGGAAAAGGAACCTGGCGCCGCAGTGCTCTCCCTGGACGTAGCCAACGCGTTCAACGAGCTCTGCCGGGACACCTTGCTACGGGAGGTCGCCGGCCGCCTGCCCGAGCTGGCCCAGCTGGCGACGGCGTGGTACGGCGGGGCCACCACGCACGGGGCGCGCCTGCCAGGTGCCCGAGCGGCGCCGGTCAGAGCGGAGCGCGGGGTTGACCAGGGTTGCCCCCTCTCCCCGGCGTTCTTCGCCGTGGCGACGGCGACGCTTTACGAGAGCCTGGCGGCGGCGGCGCGCCACGTGGACCCCGAGGCCAGGGTGGTGGCCTACCTCGACGACGTGTACGTCGTTGGCAGCCCGCGCGCACTGGCAGCAGCGCTCCTCGCAGCGCCGGCGCTTTTCTCGGCGCGCGGCCTCCGCTTGAACGCGCGGAAGACGAAGGTCTGGAACCCGCGCGCCTTGGACCTCCCAGGGCCACTGGCCAGGGCGGAGGTGCCCGAGCTGACGTGCGTTGGAAGCACCCTCCCCTACGTGCGCAACGCCGCGGGGGCAGAGGAGGGCCAGGACGCCGACCCCGCGAGGGCGAGCTTCTCGCCGGCGACCGCCCCGCAGAAGGCCCGGGACCACCTCGACGCTTACCTCGCCGCTCTCCGCCAGCTCAGAGCGCACGGTCTGCGTGCCCAAGACGAGCTCGTGCTGCTCCGCACTTTCGCCAACGGCGCGGCCCTGCACCACGCGAGGGCGCACTTGCTGGACGAGGCTAGGTCCTGACGCCGCTCACCGGGCACCAGGCGCTGCCTGCTCTCGCGCGCGACTTGGCCTTCCTGCCAACGGCCGACGGCGGGGTAGGGCTCCAGGGCCTCGCGCACCGCAGGCTGCCTGCCTTCGCGGGGGCCTGGCAGGCGTGCTTGGCTGGCGTCTGCCGCGAGCTCAGCCTACCTAGCCTCGAGGCCTTCCAACAGGCTTGCCCGACGGCGTGGGGGGCGGCCGAGAGCGCGGGCCGCGCGCTCTCGGTGCGCGGCACGGACTGGGTTTGCGCCGCCGCAGAGCCCAAGGCCAAGGCGCAGCGGGCCCTCGCAGCGCCAGAGCAGCACGCGCGCCGGCAGCGGCTCCTGGGCGCCTTGCCGCCTACACAGGCAGCGCTGCTCCGCTCGGCCAGCGGGAAGGGCGCGGGAAGCTGGCTCCTGCCGCCGACAGAGGAGGACCACGTGCTGGCGGACGCGCACTTCCTCCCTGCCCTGGCGCTGCGCCTGCAGCTGCCCCTGCCTGCGGCTGCCAGCCCCACCTGCCTCCGGCGCCGGGAGGACGGCTCGCGCTGCGGGGCTGACCTGGCCGCGACACCAGGGCACTGCCTGGGCTGCCACGTCGGCGGCGGCACGACCAAGCGCCACGACGGGGTCACGGACTGGCTCGCCGGCTGGCTGCGCGCCCGAGGCGCGACAGGCGTGAGCACGGAGCAATTTGTGCCCGCCTGGGACAGGGCGCGCCCAGATGGCACAGTCGAGGCAGCCCGCCTCGATGTAGCCACTGACCCCACGGCCGGCGCGACTTACGTCGACGTGGTGGTCACGGACGCCGCTCTTGGCGCAGACACGCCAGCGGGCAGGAGCCGCGCTGTCCGGGACGGCGCGGCCGCGGCTGCTGCGGAGGAGCGCAAACACCGGCGCTACCCTGGCCAAGCGCTGACTGCCTTCGCGCTCGAGGCCTTGGGCCGCGCGGGGCCCGAGGCGCAGGCGCTCCTGCGCACCTGGGCGCGCGGCGACGCCACGGCGCTGGCGACGGCGCGCCAGAGCCTAGCGGCGACGCTGCAGCGCGGCAGCGCGGAAGCTTACCGCTCCGCTTGCCTCGACGCGCGCGGCCGAGCGCGCCGCGGCGCCGGCGGCGCCGAACCGGCGGCCCGCCGCGCGCGCGCGAGCTGAGCTGGCTGAGGGGCGCGCGAACTGACTTGCGAGGGGAGGCGGAGCTGGGCGCTGGAAGGGCGAGGAAGGGGCGCCGGAAGGGGCGCGGCGGCGGAGGCAGGGCGCTGGCGGGGGGCAGCAAGGGAGAGGCGCCGCGGGAGCTGCAGGCCGGCGCTGCCGGAGCGCGCGCGCGCGCCGAGCGCTGGGCGGCAGGCCGCTGCGCGCGACTTCCGCGCGGCTCGGCGCAGGGGCGCCTGCGGGACAACTGGCGGGCGAGCTGGCGCAGCAGCGCCGCGAAGAGAGAGGGGCCCGGTCGGGCGGCTTGCTTTTTTCCTCCTCCTCCTCCTCCTCCTCCCGCCCCTCTTTCTTCCTCCCTTTCCCCTCCACACTCGCTGTGTCCGTTTATATAGCTTTTGCTGCTGTTTTTCTGTTCAGCTCCCTCTCCCCCCCCTCTTCTTCCCCGCTCCGTGCCTCCGGCGGGTGGCGCGTGCGCCTAGGGGGGGGGTCTGGTGGCTCACGCCTCCCCGCCGCGCGCCCGTCTCCTCCGCCTTCCGGTCCCTCCTGGCTCCCTCCTCCCTCCTCACCTCCACCCATTGCCGCTTTTGGAAGTGCGCCCTGTCGCGGGCGCCTGGGTGGTTTTCGGCCTTCCACCCGGGCGCCGACAAAAAACCCTGGATGGGTGCGCTTCCATATTTTTCTCGTTGCCTGTGGACGCTAGAGCTTTTCCTCGCCCCGTCGCTTCTTGACCGCTTGTTCTTCCCTTGCTCGCTTCGTGTCCGCTTTCTCTTTCTCTTTCAGTGAGAGGAGGAGGAGGAGGAGGGGAGGAGGAGGAGCGGAGGAGGCGGAGGTGGAGGCGGAGGCGCAGGCGGAGGCGGCGGAGGAGGAGGAGGAGGAGGAGGAGGAGGAGGAAGGATGAGGATTAGATGAGTCGGAGGCGGAGGCGGAGGCGGAGGCGAGGCGAGGCGGAGCGGCAGGCGGCGCGGCGGCGGCGGCGGGCGCGGGGGCTGCGGCGCGGCGGCGGCGGCGGCGGCGGCGGAAGGAGGAGGAGGAGGAGGAGAGGAGGAGGAGGGAGGAGAGGAAGGGAGCAGGAGCAGAGGAGGAGGCAGAGGGGGAGGAAAAGCAGGAGGAGGAGGAGGAGGAGGAGGAGAGGAGGAGGAGGAGGAGGAAGAGGAGGAGAGGAGGAGGAGGGAGGAGGAGGAGGAGGAGGAGGAGAGGAAGGGAGGATGAGGAGGGAGGAGGATGGGAGGAGGGGAGGGAGGGGAGGGGTGGGAGGGGGAGGGGGGAGAGGAGGAGGAGGAGGAGGAGGAGGAGGAGGAGGAGGAGGAGGGGGGGGAGGAGGAGGAGGAGGACGACGGCGAGGACGATGAGGACGACGAGGACGAGGGCAGGGAGGGCGCCGTGGCGCGAAGGTAGCCGCGCACCGCGGACAGCGGGGCGCGAGGCGCGAGGGCCGGAGACCGGGGGACTCCTCCCCGACGGCCGCCCGAGGGCTGCGCACGACCAGCCCGGCGTCGACGTCGGGCTCCTGGTCTCGAAGGCCTCTCCGCCCAGGGGGGGGGAGGAATCCCACGGGCGCAGGGGCGTTCGCGGTTCGGTCGGTTCGGTGGCGCCGCGGTCGGTTGCGGTCGCTCCGGTCGGTTCGCTCGGCTAGCGTGCCGTGGTCGTGTCGCTGCGCCCTGTCTTCGGTTTTTCGCTGTCGGTTCGGTTTTGCTGTCTCCGTGGACGGTCTTGGAACCCACGTCGGGCTTGGCTTGGACAGGGACAAATCGTTCCAGAGCGTTCCGATACGCTCTCGGAGCGTTCGGGACCGCTCTGGTAAGGGCGGCGCCGCGGCGCCCAATCCATATGCCAAAGCCGCCAGATCTCGGATTCCCGATTTTTCCCTGTCCGATTTTGCACTTGTCCTGGCTTCGCCTTACCACGTGCGTCGGGACTTCACGTTCTGGCAGCCACGGCTGGCCCCTCTCCTTCTTTCAATGCGTTCCCTGGCCCCCCAACCCTCATCCGTGCGCGTGCCTCGGGCCGTGAGTTGGGACCCCCCCCCTCTTGAACGCCCCCCCTCCTGGCCGCCCCGGGGTGTTTGGGAGCTACGACGAAGCGGCTGGCCGGGCTTCGCGACGGGGTCCCGGCCGACCCAGGCTTGTGCTGACCCGGGGCAGCGCGTCCCCGAGCGCCTGGCGGACTGCGCCCAGCGCGGGCCGCACCCGCCTGTCCCTCGGTGGGCCCGCGGAGGCACGCCGTCGGTTCTGGCGAGCAGGGAGGGGGTGCGAGGTGGGAGGTTCTGGTCACGGGAAGTTTTTTTTTTGTTTTTTTTGTTTTTGTTTTTGTTTTTTGCCTTTTTCGTCCTCTGCGGGCCGTTCTCGGGCCCCGGGACTGTCGGACTTTGAGCGGCTTTTCCTTCATCCCTCCCCCCTCTTGACCGACTTTCTCGTGGCTCACCCAGGTCAGAACCCCCCAGCCGCCTCCAACTTCCGTGGACTGCCCCCGGGGCCCATGTCAGGAAACAATCCTAACGTCGGAGGTTACGATCGGACGCGAGGGGAAGAGTCATCATCCTTTCGGGTTTTGAACGCTTCTTGCTATTCTTTCGCCTCCTGGAGGGTCCTCGTCGCCACGACTGGAGCTGTCTCGAAAGCATTGAAGCTTCGCGTATCCCCACCAGCCGCGCGTTGCTCCCCCCCTCACGCCGCAGGCGCCTCGCTTGCGCGTGTTAATTAGATCGGCCCGTGGCCCGGACCTGTCGACTCGGCGCCTGCGCTTTCGTATGCGCCCGCGAGGAAAAAGTATCCCCACCAGCCCATGACGCAACGATTACTAGGTGAGTTGTACCGATCAGGAAATTGTGGGAGCACGCAGAGGGCAAAAGAAGGGGGGCAGACGTCAAGCCGAATGTCGGGATCAGCCTGAGCAGGCCCAGGGAGTGCTTTCGCGGATCTTTTGATATAGGCGCCTCTTGGCAGGTGGGGCCGTCTCGGTGCCCTATTGGGGCCATTTTGGAGGCCTCTCTTGGGGCCTCTCTTGGGGCCCTCTCTGGGCTTTCGGGGCCCCCTTGAGTAGGGAATCAAGGGGACCTTCTTGGAGCCTTCATGGGGAAGGCAACCAATCAAAGAGGGGGTTTACATATTTCGCCCCTCCGTCGGATGCCAACAATCTGTTGGAGCTCTATTGGGGCGTATTTCAGTATTGGGAGCCTCTTGGGCTTCTCTTGGTCGGAGCCATCTGCAGGCCTTCGAAGCCGATCGCAAGCGAACATGCTGGAGGAGACACATCATTTGTGTTCGTTTGGTTTGGGAGGGATTTTGGCATCACGGGGGCCTCCTTGGGAAACTCCGTAGACATTTGGAACCGTCTTGGGGCGGTCTGGGCCCCCTTGGGCTACCTGAGGCCATGTTGGCGCCAACTTGGGCCAACATTACCCTCTGACACGTCGGCCCCCCACCCCCTCCAAATCCAGTAGAGGAGGTCGGGGGAGATGATGATGATGATGATGATGATGATGATGATGATGATGATGATGATGATGATGATGATGATGATGATGATGATGATAATCATGATCATGATCATGATGATGAGGATGAAGATGAGGATGAGGATGATGATGATGATGCTGATGCTGATGCTGATGCTGATGCTGAATCTGACAATGATGATGATGATGATGATGATGATGATGATGATGATGATGATGATCATGATGATGATGATGATGATGATGATGATGATGATGATGATGATGCTGATGATTGTGATGATGATGGTTATGGTGATAATGCTGCTGATGATGATGATGGTGATGGTGATGACGATGCTGTTGGGGACAGTGCTTGTTATGACTATGATGATGCTGATGATGACGACGATGACGATGATGCTGCTGATCATGATGGTGACGAGGCTGATGATAACGATGCTGAGGATGACGATTACGGTGATGATACTGATTCTGATGATGATGCTGATGATGTTGGTGATGATGATGATGATGCGACTATCGATGCTGCTACTGATGATGATGCTGGTGGTGGTTTTGATGATGATGTTAATGTTGGTGATGATGATGCTGCTGATGATGATGCGGCTGATGATGCTGCGGATGCAATGATGATGGGAATGTTGATGCTGCTTCTGCTTCTGCCTGTGATGATGATTTTGATGATATGAGAATGGTGGTGCTGATGATGCTGCAGATGATGGTGTTATGATGATGCTGATGATGATGATGATGACCATGACAATGATGATGACGATGGTGACGATGATGACGATGATGATGATGACGATGATGATGATGATAAGTGATGATGCCGATGACGATACTGATGATGGTGATGATGCTACCCATGATGATGACAATGACGCTTATGATGCTGCTGATGATGATGATGATCATTAAGCTGCTGCTGATGCTGAAGCTTATGATAATGATGACACTGCTGCTGATGCTGATGATTCTTATGATGCTAATGATGCTGCTGCTGATGCTGACGATGATGATGACGATGATGACGATGATGATGATGGTGATGATGATGGTGATGCTGGAAGCGGTGGCGTTGATGATGATGGACGCGGTGGCGTTGATGACGTCGGTGATGATGACGACGATGACGATGACGACGACGATGATGATGATGATGATGATGATGATGATGATAATGATGAAGGTGGTACTGATGATGATGATGATGATGATGATGATGATGATGATTGTGATGATGCCTGTGAAACTGTTGATGATGCTGATACTGATGATGGTGATGATGCTGTTTATAATACTGATGATGATGACGATGATGATGATGCTGATGATGACGACGATGATGATGATGATGCCTCTACCGACGCTGCTGCTGCCAATGATGATGGCGCTGATGGTTGTGGTTCTGGTGATGGTGTTAATAATGGTGATGTTGATGCTGATGATGATGCGGCTGATGATGCTGCTGATGCAATGGTGATGGGGATGTTGCTGCTGATGCTGATGATGATGACGATGAGATGAGGATGGTGGTGCTGGTGATGCTGATGATGATGATGACTGCTGATGATGATGCTGGTGGTGATGTTGGTGATGATGCTTTTGGTGATGGTGATGATGACGACACTGATGATGATTGTGATGGTGATGCTGATGATGACGGTGTTGATGCTACTGGTGATGCTGGTGCTGTCGATGATGCTGGTGGTGATGCAGATGATGATGC